TGCACCTGAGCCCCAATCTATGTATCCATAAGACACACAGAGCTGTGGCTCAGCTCTCCGCCTCTGCTCTCTCTTCATTAGCTCACTGGCTGTGATTGAAATCAGTGGGAGCCAACGGCTCTCGCTGCTGTGTCTCAGCAAAAAAGGAGAGAGAGAGCTGGGATAGCCGAGGCTCTCATGCACATTGCTGGATCAAGAGGGGGCTTCTAGGGGGGCATGTCATCCCACTGGCTTTATCACAGAAGAATTCTGCATATATCAAGCCTCCCATTACAATCTGAGCTCTGTTCTTTTCAGAATTTCCCTACCCAAGGAAGAAGCAAGAAGAAATTTTCAGGGATGGGTAACCTGTCCTTTAAACAGAAAATTTTACTCTAAGCTCCTATGAAAAAACAGTAAGCGAAAGACAAGTGTCCTGTTTCCCCTTGGTTCGAACAACAAACTGTCTTTGAGTGGGCATTGGAAGGTTTGATGGCTTACTACAAGTCTTGATCTCCACAGTGCGGAAATGCCGCTTGCCAAATTCGTAGCTCCATATTCCCTTTTGGCCATGAAGTCCTTGGCACAGCTTTAGGTGTCACAGTCCTCATACTAAATCCTCCACATTTTTCTATATACAGTTGCAAGAAAAAGTATGTGAACCCTTTGGGATTACGTGGAGTTTTGCATGAATTGGGCATAAAATGTGCTCTGAACGTCATCTAAGTCACAACAATAATAGAAGAACACAGTCTGCTGAACATAATACTACACAAACATTAGATGTTGCCATGGTTTAATTGCACATAACATGTAAACATTCACAGTGCAGGGAGGAAAAAGTATGTGAGGCCCTAGCTTAATGACTTCTCCCAGACCTAATTGGAGCCAGGAGTGAGCCAACCTTGACTCCAATCAGTGTGATGATATTGGATGTGTTGCTGACAGCTGTCCTGCCCTTAAAAAACACACACCTGTTTTGGGTTTACTGGTTTCAAGAAGCACTGTCTGATGTGAACCATGCCTCGCAGAAAAGAGCTCTCAGAAGACCTACGATCAAGAATTGTTGACTTGCATGAAGCTGGAAAGGGTTACAAAAGTATCTCCAAAAGCCTTGATGTTGATGTGTTCACGGTAAGACAGACTGTCTACAAATGGAGAAAGTTTAGCACTGTTGCTACTCTCCCTAGGCGTGGTCGTCCTGTAAAAATGACTGCAAGAGCACAGCGCAGAATGCTGCATGAGGTAAAGAAGAATCCCAGAGTGTCAGCTAAAGACCTACAGAAATCTCTGGCACATGCTAACATTTTTGTTGACACATCTACAATAAGGAAAACATTAAACAAGAATGGAGTACATGGGAGGACACCACGGAGGAAGCCATTGCTATCCAAAAAGAAGATTGCAGCACGTTTGAAGTTTGCAAAAGATCACCTGGATGTTCCACAGCACTAATGGCAGAATATACTGTGGACAGATGAAACCAAGATTGAGTTGTTTGGGAAGAACACACAACACTATGTGTGGGGAAAAAAAGGCACAGCACACCAACATCAAAACCTCATCCCCACTGTGAAACATGGCGGAGGGAGCATCATGGTTTGGGGCTGCTTTGCTGCCTCAGGGCCTGGACGGATTGTTGTCATTAATGGGAAAATGAATTCCAGAGTTTATCAAGACATTTTTCAGAAAACCGTACGACCATCTGTCCGCCAATTAAAGCTCCGCAGAGGCTGGGTGATGCAACAGGACAATGACCCAAAGCATACAAGTCATTCAACAAAACAATGGCTGCAACAGCACAGAATACGCCTTCTGGAGTGGCCCAGTCAGAGTCCTGACCTCAACTCGATTGAAATGCTGTGGCATGACCTTAAGAGAGCGATTCACACCAGACATCCCAAGAATATTGCTACACTGAAACAGTTTTGTGAAGAGGAGTGGTCCAAAATGACTCCAGATCGTTGTGCAGGTCTTATCTGGCAGCAATAACCTCAACCAAACGTTTCCTGTAGTTGCAAAGGAGGGTCAACCAGTTATTAAGTCCAAAGGTTCACATACTTTTTCCTCCCTGCACTGTGAATGTTTACATGTTATGTGCAATTAAACCATGGCAACATCTAATGTTTGTGTAGTATATTATGTTCAGCAGACTGTGCTCTTCTATTGTTGTGACTTAGATGACGTTCAGAGCACATTTTATGCCCAATTCATGCAAAACTCCACGGAATCCCAAGGGGTTCACATACTTTTTCTTGCAACTGTATATATATAACATGTATATACAGTATACATGGCCACTTTAAGTTTTCTTCTGTGCCAGCTATGCACATCACCTGGAAAAAATTTCCTCTAGTTAACATTTCACTTGAAATTTGCATATAATGCCGCAGCAGATGATATCCTGAATGTGTCTGTAAATGAGCCTTAACACAGATTACAATAAAGGCAGCAACTTTTGATGTTTACCCAGAAGTAGCATGCTCCCCATGTTAAAACAGTGTGTAGTTACCTAGGATACAATTAGACTGCAGAGTGGGTATAACTTGACAATTCTCAGTAAGAGCAGACAGGGAATCTTCTATTTACACCAGCAGGACTGAGATCTCTTATGTCAGGAGGCTTGCAGACATACAACAAATAAAACCCAAACGAAAAATGGAACAAGCCCACGAAAAAAAAAAAAAAAAAATCTCAAGTAATTTTCATTGCTGCTCAAGGAAAGTTTAGACAAAGTTGCCTTTGATAATCAACTGAACAAGCTGCCCTGCAAGCATCAAGGGATAGCGTAGGGATATATAGCAGGTGCTGTAGTTTATCACAAAACCGTCTAAAATAATTGGAAGTGACAACCAGCACTACCACAAATGATTTATTAGTCTTTCACTCAGCTTTTCAGCTTCCTCAGGGCCAGAATAAATAATTTACCAACTCTGTATCTTCCAATCATTAATTCTTCCCGGTGCATCCAAACTGCATTTAACTCTGCTGGGTATTCAGCTGAATTAAAAATACAATATGAAGATTTTTTATGCTTCAAGTGTATTATTATTTAACTGTATTCAAATGTGAAGCAGCGCACATAAAAAAGGCAGAGATGGACCCTTGCATAACTTCAGGGGCCGTGACTTATGTCTATTTTTATACAAAGGCGAATGTCAGCTGAGGAGCATAGACACATGAGAACCGACCAAAAAACTACCCCCTGCCTTAGCACAGCAAGGGGCTGACAAGGAAATCCCTTTAAGGGGAAAACTACGCTAAATACATTAAGTGTTGTTGATCTTGTATGACTCTAAATATCAACCCACAATTTAATTCCCAAAACTGAATATGTACACAGTGTTTTCTCTTTTATTTCATTCCCAAATGCACTATGGATTTCACTAAAATCTGCCAGTGTTTTACACAAAATGTTTAAAATCTACTACTTATAATAATGGTCTAGTAAAACTGCAGCTGCAGTAAATGGTCTAAGGTCTATGGCAAAGGACAACTGACCACTCATTGGCAATCAGAAGCTTTCTGTATAAAATGTGGCGCAAGATGTGAAATTCTTGCAGCAACAAGCAAAAAAAAAAGAATCTCCTTAGAACTAGGAACATGCACTATGTAAACTCAATAGGACTATATGGGTAGCTGTGTTGATGTGCGCCGAAAAGAAGCAAGGGACAGGTTGCATTCTTGTTGTAACGCATTGCAATGCGAAATTGCACACAGAGTTGAATATCATGTTAAAAAAACAGCGCTGCAGTGAATGTACACAACCCACACCAATGTGCATGCATAGGCGCAATAACACTACAAACCTTGCATTCAGTGCACAGTTTCGCATGTGCATTTTCATGCAATGGTAATGCATTTCCACTATATATACAGTCAGGTCCATAAATATTGGGACATCGACACAATTCTAACATTTTTGGCTCTATACACCACCACAATAGATTTGAAATGAAACTAACAAGATGTGCTTTAACTGCAGACTGTCAGCTTTAATTTGAGGGTATTTACATCCACATCAGGTGAACGGTGTAGGAATTACAACAGTTTGCATATGTGCCTCCCACTTGTTAAGGGACCAAAAGTAATGGGACAATTGGCTTCTCAGCTGTTCCATGGCCAGGTGTGTGTTATTCCCTCATTATCCCAATTACAATGAGCAGATAAAAGGTCCCGAGTTCATTTCAAGTGTGCTATTTGCATTTGGAATCTGTTGCTGTCAACTCTCAAGATGAGATCCAAAGAGCTGTCACTATCAGTGAAGCAAGCCATCATTAGGCTGAAAAAACAAAAACCCATCAGAGAGATAGCAAAAACATTAGGCGTGGCCAAAACAACTGTTGGAACATTCTTGAAAAGAAGGAACGCACCAGTGAGCTCAGCAACACCAAAAGACCCGAAAACAACTGTGGTGGATGACCAAAGAATTCTTTCCCTGGTGAAGAAAACACCCTTCACAACAGTCGGCCAGATCAAGAACACTCTCCAGGAGGTAGGTGTATGTGTGTCAAAGTCAACAATCAAGAGAAGACTTCACCAGAGTGAATCCAGAGGGTTCACCACAAGATGTAAACCATTGGTGAGCCTCAAAAACAGGAAGGCCAGATTAGAGTTTGCTAAACGACATCTAAAAAAGCCTTCAGTGATGGGAAGAGAAAAGTATGGAGAAGGAAAGGAACTGCTCATAATTCTAAGCATACTACCTAGAGATGAGCGAATTATTCAAAAATTCGGTTCGGCTGATTCGCCGAATAAATTCGCTTCGAGCCGAATATATTCGCTGCGAATTTAACTTATAAAAAGGGTGTTTCTAGGCTTCAGAGAGCCTTTATATTAGTGCAGAACACTGTACCTTTAATTTAAATGCCCTTGGAGTCTGCTGGGGAAGAGAAATAATACTGTCAGTCAGTATGACATGCAGATGAGTGCCGTCGATCTTAGAATCACCGCACACTTCACTCATTTGGTCAGTCACGGGGCCAAAACCAGAGTGTGGAGCCACAGTGTGGCGGTGGAGGCAGCAGCAATGGGAGGCCATACAGCACCCTATGACAAAATGGAACCCACCAGCAGTGTGAAGAGACCTGAAAGTGGCACATGGCAGAGTGTGGCGATGGAGACAGCAGCAATGGGAGGCCGTACAGGGACCCATGACACACTCTGGACCTGGCAGCAGCATGAGGAGGCGGTACAGGGGCCCATGACAGATTACGGGCCTGGCAGCAGCATGAGGAGTCGGTACGGGGGCCCATGGCAGATTACGGGCCTGGCAGCAGCATGATGAGGCGGTACAGGGGCCCATGGCAGAGTGGCGGAGCGTAAGCAGCTAAAATTGAAGGCCATACAGAGGCCTATGTTAAAAAGTCCCCCCAGCAGCAGCGTGGGGAGACGACTATCAAGAGTCCAATGGCAGAGTGGCGGAGCAGAAGCAGCTTCAATTGAAGGCCATACACAGGCCTAGGTTTAAAAGTCCCTCACAGTTAATTCCAATAACGAACTCTACTCCTCCGTGCAATCTACTTACGAGACCCTGGGCAGGTCTGGGTCCAATTTGTGGTAGAGACTGGTTTTGTTCAGCCATGCTTGAGCGAGTAATAACAGGTCTGTGCTGCCCTTTGGTGTCTGGCTTAATGCGCACAACACTGAACGTCCCAGCATTTGTCAACGATTTGCCGTTAAGTGATGCAAACCCGCTGAACCACGTTCATGAGGAGCCGGTACAGGGGGCCAAAAAATATTACTGCCAGCCGGCGTGTAAATGGATTTAACTCTTTGAACGTACAATAATGGTTGTGAAGCAGAAAGTCAGTTTATTTAGCACAGTCGGTCAATTGCAGCTTGCCGTTGGCAGGAAACTGTACGTTTATGTCACTGGAATGCACTAATCACCCAAAAAATATTACCGCCACCCGGCGTGTAAATGGATCTAACTCTTTGAACGTACAATAGTGGTTGTGAAGCAGAAAGTCAGTTTATTGTACACAATCGGTCAATTGCAGCTTGCCGTTGGCTGGAAACTGTACGTTTCTGTCACTGGAATGCACTAATCACCCAAAAAATATTACCGCCAGCCGGCGTGTAAATGGATTTAACTCTTTGAACGTACAATAGTGGTTGTGAAGCAGAAAGTCAGTTTATTTTGCACAATCGGCAAACTGCAGCACCAACTGTGCACGACAGCCACCAAAAAAAAAAAAGGGTGTATGTCACTTTAAATTTTCGATTCTTTGATAGCTGTGGCCCTAAGTAACGATTCTGTGTCCCTGAGTAACGATTCTGTGTCCCTGAGTAACGATTCTGTGTCCCTGAGTAACGATTCTGTGGCCCTAAAGTCTGTGTGGCCCTAACTCTGTCCCTTAATACACACAGGTCTGTCTCTCTTGAATGACCGTAGGCTATTGGAGAATTCTAAGATGGCCGCGATTTATAGCTCCACCATTACACAGTGCTGGCTGGCTGCTGATTGGCTAATGCGATCACATGTCATGAATGCATTATGGGTCAGCGCGCCTTGTCTGCGCGCCTTCCCAGAGATCCCCGCCCCATCTTCTCTGTCCATTTTCTCCGTCGCCACACGTCGCCGCCATTTTTGGGAAAATTCGATTCGTGCATCCGAAGTTTGTTAATCTTCGGATTCGTCGCGAATCAAATTTTTCCAAATCTTCGGAACGAATTCCACTTCGTCATGTTCGATTCGCTCATCTCTAATACTACCTCATCAGTGAAGCATGGTGGTGGTAGTGTCATGGCGTGGGTATGTATGGCTGCCAATGGAACTGGTTCTCTTGTATTTATTGACGATGTGACTGCTGACAAAACCAGCAGGATGAATTCTGAAGTGTTTCGGGCAATATCTGCTCATATTCAGCCAAATGCTTCACAACTCATTGGACGCCGCTTCACAGTGCAGATGGACAATAACCCAAAGCATACTGCAAAAGCAACCAAAGAGTTTTTTAAGGGAAAGAAGTGGAATGTTATGCAATGGCCAAGTCAATCACCTGACCTGAATCCGATTGAGCATGCATTTCACTTGCTGAAGACAAAACTGAAGGGAAAATGCCCCAAGAACAAGCAGGAACTGAAGACAGTTGCAGTAGAGGCCTGGCAGAGCATCACCAGGGGTGAAACCCAGCGTCTGGTGATGTCTATGCGTTCCAGACTTCAGGCTGTAATTGACTGCAAAGGATTTGCAACCAAGTATTAAAAAGTGAAAGTTGGATTTATGATTATTATTCTGTCCTATTACTTTTGGTCCCTTAACAAGTGGGAGGCACATATGCAAACTGTTGTAATTCCTACACTGTTCACCTGATTTGGATGTAAATACCTCAAATTAAAGCTGACAGTCTGCAGTTAAAGCACATCTTGTGGTGGTGTATAGAGCCAAATATGTTAGAATTGTGTCGATGTCCCAATATTTATGGACCCGACTGTATATCGCACTGCATTCATGTTCTGTTATGTCCATTCCGGTACGTTTATGTGCGAAAAATTGCAACATGCTGTTGCATGAACACATGAAAGCACCACAATGGTGTAAGCTAGGTTTACTGAAATATATTTTTCTTGCATATCCATTCGTGCGTCTTTAAAAACGGTTTCAACTGCAATTGGTGTAAATGAGTCCTAACGTGCCCATTGGAGTAAATGAGCCCTAAAAAAAAATTGAATAATGCAGCCTCATCCCTGGGCTGGTATGAAGAATGCTGATGACCCCTGGCAGGCCACAGCATTGGCACACTCATACAGTGTAGCACCCCCGTGCCCCAGCTGTATGATGAGGCAAATGGAGCCCTGGTTCACACTGACAATTCCATCTAAAACACTGAAATCCTCGCCTGCTCCTACTGCTGTTGGCTTAAGGTGGTGGAAATGGAAATTAGTGAAGCCTGGTACAAATTCTGGGGCCATTGAGCAGGCAAAATTCCCTCTTCCAGGCTCCTGGTCTACTGTATACTATTGGAGGCATCTGCAGTCTGTGACCTGCTAGAAGGTCTTCAGTTAGAACTATAAAATTACAAAAAGGAGAGTCAGAACGAAATCAGATAAAAAATCAGATAAAAGAGTCCAAGATAATTAAAAGGTCATGTAAAAAATCCAATACGTTTCAGAGACATCAGTTGCCATTCATCAGGGCTCAACACAGAATAAACCTTGGAAAGGCTCAGAGAAACCAGTGACTTCACAGACCTATAATGGAACCAGTTATGGAGGAATAACCGGACAGTAGTTGCTGAGCAGCAACTGAGGCTCAGCAACTGCTGACTGGTTGTTCCTCCATAAGGAGAGTTCAATACTGGTTCTAACATAGATTTGTGAAATCTCTGGTTTCTCTGATTCCAAGTTTTATCCTGTGTTGAGGAATAATGTTGCCCCCAAAACACTTTGGCTATTTTTATATTACTTTTTTTTTTTTTTATCAACAATTAAAACAATCTTAGACTCTTGTCCAATTTTGGTTTGGTGCTCTTTTTAAGCTACTGGGGGCCACCTGGAAACCCCCCCTTCTCCGAGGGTGCTGCACACAGAAGGTTTTTTTCCTTCATGCATACAATGCATGAAGGTAAAAAACCTTGAGCCTTTAGAACCACTTTAAACATTATAGTAATATCATGTATTTTATCAATCATTAGCCCTGGGAAAGAGTTAAAAAAAACAGCTTACGGAGCATTTGTCTACAAAATTATGTATGTACACTTAGTTTATATCAAACAAAAATGAAAATGTGAGGTTTGCATGCAGACCAAACTCAGCAACACGCCTATCCTAGAGCTTTCTAAGTCACTGATTTAGACCAAGTACCAAGTGGTTAGCACTTCCGCCCAGCAGTAGTAGAATCGTCGGTTCGAATCCCAAACCATGACACCACCTGCCTGGAGTTTGCATGTTCTCCCTGTGCCTATGTGGGTTTCCTCCAGGTACTCGGTTTCCTCCCACACTCCAAAGACATGCTGGTAAGTTAATTGGCTTCTGTCTAAATTGGCCCTAGTATGTGCATATATATGAATGTGAGTTAGAGACCTTAGATTGTAAACTCCTTGAGGGATAGGGACTAATGTGAAATGTACAATATACATGTGTAAAGTATTGCATAAATTGACGATGTTATATAAGTACCTGTAATAAATAATAAGCACACACCTTAGAGAAGTCAAAATTAAGCCAGAAGTTCATATCTTCATATTTTTTGTTTCAGGTCAGTGTTTCAAAGTACTGAAGCATAAAGGCGGCAGCCTCCACATGTCTATAGAATCATCAGTCTACCCAAAACAAAAAAAAGATTGCTCAGACTGAAAGAGCTACAGCTCTATCATTCAAAATTGTGTAGCAAAAATACCTGTCTTGATAAGCAGGAATTTGACATTTTCACAGCTTTGCTTTGTTGCTATTGTGCAGCCATTTTATGAATACTACAATATACTATTATTTTGATATAAATATTTTTAAATTACTACGCATTTCAGAAGCTCCGTTTGCTTGACAAATGAGGCGGAGCTTCTGAAACACGTTGCAGCCCGCTCCCCCGTTCCATTCAAAGCACCTGCCACTTCTCCCTACCACTGGTGGGAAGGCCACAGTGACGCAGATTATCCACCACAGCGGGTCTCTCCCTGGGCCATGCACAGATCATTGGATCCACTCTTCTGATGCCACTGGCTCCGGGTGTCCTCACCTGCCACACACTCCGAAGGAGTTTTAGATGTGTCTTTTAAATAAAGTATTACTGGCTTTATCCTCGCTGACCTGGCACCCTGCTTGTTGTTCCTTTGCCACACAGTGAAAAGCCTACTGGATCGAGGATGAAGGTAAGTATTTCTCACAGAGCAGTTGGAGCATACCTTAAAACGCACAGTCTACCTTTGTGATCAGGTTCCTTGTTACACCCATATTTAAGGTGGAATATAAAACATAGTAGCATTCCCCAATCCTCAAACCGCCCCTCACTTACCTCAATCATGGGGTCCTTCTCCCTGAAGTGAGGCTGTGCATGGCCCATCCTTGGTAAAGAAAGCACCAGCATGTGTGGTGACATTGCTGAACTTGTAGTCCATTGTTTTCTTCATCCAGCCCCATAACAGTAGGTCTGTACCTCCATTAGGACCTGGGGATGGCATACAAACAGTGCAAGATCCTGTACTCTGCACCCAAGAAACACCATTCACAGCTCAGATTTCTGAAGGTCTATATACTAATATTGAGGGCTCATTCACACCAGCCACTGCATTGCAACACAGATACTGGTGTGCGGTGTTGTCTGGTCAGACTGGCACATTGCACCATTCACTTTCTCAAATGAACTTGTCATACAGTGAAACTTGTCCTGTGAATGTTCTGACGGTGATGTCACATGGAAGCCAGAACTTTTGGAAATAGGGGATGAGCGCTGCTGTTTTGGATTAACACCAGGCTTAGTAAGAAATCAGCAGTATGGACCTTGTTTTTCTATCCTTGTCCATA